TTAATCCTGAGTTCTAATTTCATTGCACTGTTGTCTGAGAGACAGTTTGTTGTGATTTCTGTTCTTTTATATTTGCTGAGGAGTGCTTTATTTCCAACTATGTGGTCAATTTTGGAATAAGTGTGATGTGCTGAGAAGAATGTATATTCTGTTGATTTGGTTTGGAGAGTTCTATAGATGTCTATTAGGTCTCTTGGTGCAGAGCTGAGTTCAAATCCTGAATATCTTTGTTAACTTTGTGTCTCATTGATCTGTCTAATACTGACCGTGGGATGTTTAAGTCTCCCATTATTATTGTGTGGGGGTCTAAGTCTTTTTGCAGGTCTCTCAGGACTTGCTCTATGAATCTGGGTGCTTCTGTATTGGGTACATATATATTTAGGATAGTTAGCTGTTCTTGCTGAATTGAACCTATTACCATTATGTAATGGCCTTCTTCGTCTCTTTTGAATTTTGTTGGTTTAAAGTCTGTTGTATCAGAGACTAGGATTGCAACCCCTGCTTTTTTTTTTTCTTTCCATTTGCTTGGTAGATCTTCCTCCATCCCTGTATTTTAAGCCTATGTATGTCTCTGCATGTGAGATAGGTCTTCTGAATACAGCACCTGATGGGTCTTGGCTCTTTATCCAATTTGCCAGTCTGTGTCTTTTAATTGGGGTATTTAGCCCGTTTACATTTAAGGTTAATATTGTTATGTGTGAATTTGATCCCGTCATTATGATGTTAGCTGGTCATTTTGCCCTTTAGTTGATGCAGTTTCTTCCTAGTATCGATGGTCTTTACAATTTGGCATGTTTTTGCAGTGGCTGGTACTGGTTTTTCCTTTCCGTGTTTAGTGTTTCCTTCAGGAGCTCTTGTAAGGCAGGCCTGGTGGTGACAGAATCTCTCAGCATTTGCTTGTCTGTAAAGGATTTTATTTCTTCTTCACTTATGAAGCTTAGTTTGGCTGGATATGAAATTCTGGGTTGAAAATTCTTTTCTTTAAGATTGTTGAATATTGGCCCCCAGTCTTTTGTGGCTTGTAGAGTTTCTGCCAAGAGATATGCTGTTAGTCTCATGGACTTCCCTTTGTGGGTAACCCGACGTTTCTCTCTGGCTGCCCTTAACATTTTTCCTTCATTTTAACCTTGGTGAATCTGACAATTGTGTGTCTTGAAGCTGCTCTTCTTGAGGAGTATCTTTGTGGTGTTCTCTGTATTTCCTGAATTTGAATGTTGGCCTGCCTTGCCAGGTTGGGGAAGTTCTCCTGGATCATATCCTGAAGGGTGTTTTCCAACTTGGTTCCATTCTCCCCACTACTTTCAGGTACACCAATGAAATGTAGATTTGGTCTTTTCACATAGTCCCATATTTCTTGGAGGCTTTGTTCATTGTTTTTTTTTTTTTTACTTTTTTCTCTAAACTTCTCTTCTTGCTTTATTTAATTAACTTGATCTTCAATCACTGATACCCTTTCTTCCACTTGATTGAATTGGCAATTGAAGCTTGTGCATGCATCACGTAGTTCTCGTGCCATGGTTTTCAGCTCCAGCAGGTCATTTAAGGTCTTCTCTACACTGTTTATTCTAGTTAGTCTTTTGTCTAATCTTTTTTCAAGGTTTTTAGCTTTCTTGCGATGGGTTTGAACATCCTCCTTTAACTCGGAGTAGTGTGTTATTACTGACCTTCTGAAGCCTACTTCTGTCAGCTCATCAAAGTCATTCTCCATCCAGCTTTGTTCCATTGCTGGCGAGGAGCTCCAATCCTTTGGAGAAGAGGTGCTTAGTTTTTAGAATTTTAAGCTTTTCTGCTCTGGTTTCTCCCCATCCTTGTGGTTTTATCTACCTTTGGTCTTTGATGTTGGTGACCTACAGATGGGGTTTTGGTGTGGATGTCTTTTTGTTGATGTTGATGCTATTCCTTTCTGTTTGTTAGTTTTCCTTCTAATAGTCAGGTCCCTCAGCTGCAGGGTCTATTGGAGTTTGAAGTTTGCTGGACGTCTCAGTTTGTCTCAGTATCACCAGCAGAGGCTGCAGAACAGCAAATATTGCTGAAGAGCAAATATTGCTGCCTGATCCTTCCTCTGGAAGGTTCGTCTCAGAGGGGCACCAGGCTATATGAAGTGTCAGTCAGCCCCTACTGGGGGGTGTCTCTCAATTAGGCTACACAGAGGTCAAGGACCCACTTGAGGAGGCAGTCTGTCCATTCTATGAGCTCAAACACTGTGCTGGGAGAACCACTGCTCTCTTCAGAGCTGTTAGACAGGGACTTTTAAGTTTGCAGAAGTTTCTGCTGCCTTTTGCTCAGCTATGCCCTGCCCCAAGAGGTGGAGACTACAGAGGCAGCCAGCCTTGCTGAGCTGCAGTGGGCTCTGCCCAGTTCAAGCTTCGTTGGCTGCTTTGTTTACCTACTCAAGCTTCAGCAATGGTTGACGCCCCTCCCTGTGCCTGGCTGCTGCACTTAGCAGTAAGCAAGGCTTGATCTCAGACTACTGCACTAGCAGTAAGCAAGGCTCTGTGGGTGTGGGAGCCGCCGAGCGAGATGCGGGATCTCCTGGTGTGCCATTTCCTAAGACTGTTGGAAAAGCACAGTATTTGAGTGGGAGTGTCCCTTTTCCAGGTACCGTATGTCATGGCTTCCCTTGGCTAGGTAAGGGAAATCCCCAACCCCCTTGCACTTCCTGGGTGAGGCAATGCCCCACCCTGCTTCGGCTCACCATCTGTGGGCTGCACCCACTGTCCAACCAGTCCCAATGAGATGAACCATGTACCTCAGTTGGAAATGCAGAAATCACCCGTCTTCTGTGTCAGTCATGCTGAGAGCTGCAGATCGGAGCTGTTCCTATTCGGTCACCTTGGAACGGAATCCTCCTATTATTATTCAATTAAAATTATTTCCCTCTGTGGGGATTTAAAGATAAGGAAATGATGTTTCCCCTCAAACAATGTCCAGTAGTTCATTGGATAGATAGGTCTGTAGCTTAGAAGAGTTGTCTGACCTGAGATTTAGATTTACAAATATTTAACATTATGATGGTAGCCATCATATAGAATGTTTACTACTTCCAATCACTGTGAAAAGCATTTTACATATACTATCTTACCCATTTCTCACAATAATCATTTGAACTAGATTTTGTTATTTCCATTTACCAATAAATAAATCAATAATCATACAGTTAGATGATTTGTAGCTATATGAGTATTAATTTATTAGCTGCTAAGTGGTAGAGCTGGAATTTAGTTAAGCCATGGATTAAATGAGATATCTCCAGGCAATTCAAGAGATTTTTTTTACTCAATTTATAGTTATGTAGTTCATCAGAAGTATTGTTGTATTTTGTGCCTAGCTATGAAACCAAAACACTAGGTGCCTGGCTTGTTAGATTATACAAAGACAAAAAAAGTTAGATCAGGGTTTCTCAACCTTGGCATCATTGATATTTTGGATTAGATAATTCTTTGTTGTAGGGAGCTGTACTGTGCATTGCAGCATGTTCAGCAGCATCTCTGTCCTCTATCCATTAGATTCCAGTAGTGCGCCATAATTGTGACAACCAAAAATGTCTCCAGAAATTGTCAAATGTTTCCTAGGAGGCAAAATTGCCCAGTTAAGAACCACTGATGTAAACATTTGAGTTGGCATTCACATTGTATTTAATGTTGTTTATGAAAATGTATTCTCTATATAATGATCAGGGAATTTATAATGCTTATGAATACATATTTATTAAATATCTGGTATGTAAATTAATCAGTTTATTCATTCTTTCAGTCAATCAATAAAAATTTACTGTGTGTTTATTGTGGGCAGTCACTGTAGTAGGCATTGGTAATACAAAGATAAACAAGACAGTTCCTGACTCAATAGAGCCTACAGTCTAGTGAGTATTACAATTATATAAATTTTGCAGCCTACAACTTTCTTAGTTCATAAACTCATGAGTACAAAATCTGGACTGTTTTTATTTTTCTATCTTATCTTGGTCGAATTAAAAATGTTAGTTTTTGCAATGTGAGTTTGTGTTCTGAGTGATCTTAGCTACTGGTATAAATTATGTTCCAATCAGCATTTTTGTAAGTTAAATCAAGATGTTCTCATTTTTCCCTTTTCCAGAGGGTTGCATCTGTGTTCTGGGAGACTTATGTGGAGGTGCATGGGGAAAAGGAGGTGCCCGCTATTCAGATATTTTTATGATAATATGTCTGTTTTGATCCTCATTTATCATTATCCTTTCATGTTGGCACTAACTGAATAACCTGAATTTTAATCTGGCATTATATCTTGCATGCATTTGCACTGGTTACTTTGCACTCTTAGCTTGACTGCCAGGCTGCTTTGGGGCTTTTGACTCTTACCAGCCTCTGTTCCCTTCACTGTGTCATGGAAAATATTTTGCTATTCTTGCATGCCATGCTGGGGCTGTGGAAAATTTGGTGGCTATCAGAGACCTTTCTTCTTAGATATCAGTGCTTGCAATTCTTCTCTACTTTCTCCTTGCTGTGGTTTCTCAAAAAAGTCTATGAGTCTTGCTGACTTCTAGGGCTCCTAATGGAATAAAAGCACATTTTTCTCGGTTGGTACACACAAATTAGAAGAGAAAGCTCACTAAACTGGATTACTCAAAAGTTTATTTTTGTTAGATAATAAGAGAAAAAAGTACCATATCCCTATCTCCTTACATTAGCAGAATGAATAGATGAGATGAACCATCTTCCCTCCATCATCTAAAAAGGAACTCATGTTGAGTTCTGAAAGATATTACAAAACTTGAATACTGTTTTTTAGTCTATTATGTATTTCAAAGGTGCCTTATTTTGTGATTGATTCATTAAATCTCAGAAACAAGAATCTTCATTAATGATTCTTGAAAGCTTTCTTTTTTCCTATGTCTTATACTTATTTTTAATTAAATGAGGTTATAGGTCAAAATATACAACATCCCAGAATTGCTATGTTTAACATTAATGATTTGATAAAACTTACTATAATTGTGATATAATTAGTTCTTTATTTTGCAGCTGATAATAAAGTGAAGAAGAAGAAAGGAATAAAAGATAGTGCACCCATAGGTGAGTTAAAAGTTTGTTAATTAATTAAATATTTACTGAATAACTAGACAGTGCTAGACACTATGTTAAGAGCTAAAGATATGAATAAGTAAAATGAACTTCTAAAACTTATAGTATTATCTGTGGCAACATTCTTTTTGTATATTTTTAAAAATATAGTTCATTTGGTAAACATAGAGACAATACATTTATTTTAAAATACCCATTTTATTTCTTAGACAACTAGTTTAATCGTTTCCCTTCCATGTTATTTTGTTATTATATGCCCATTTCTTATTACCTGAGATTCCTTCTGGCTACATCTACATCTGAAAAAATATTTAGTAATACTATGCTTTTGCGACAACAGGCCATTTTATTATTTTTAGATTTTGTAATAATCTTGACAAGTATAAAAATCACAAAATTATAGATATTCATGAAAAGTCATACCTTGAAATATTGTTTTAATTTAATAAATAGAGACTGTAAAGTTGGTAATTCAAGTAAAATCATGCCTTCCAACTCAACTTTTCAAGGCCTTTATTGATTATAATTACTCAGTTTGGTTTCTGCATTGCCATATTAATTAATTATTTGATCAAGATGTTTTATTCATTTTTATAAAGTTAAGGATTTGTGTCCTAAAGTACAATAAAGACCAAAGGATAATTTTCTTTCATTATTTCAAGCAGTAAGTAGGACTTATAACATGTGAACTTCATGCTGTTGTAGATTTGATATTTTCCTTATTTCCATCAATATACACTTGTTTCCTAAAGGAGGGAAGATTGATGTCAGTAATGTGGATGCTATTTTGAAAAACATGGATATAAAACTTACAGAAGAAGAACAACAATATCTACTAGACCACCTGTCAGCTACTGGTGAGGCTTTAAAATAGCTCATTGTGGGTGTCAGATACTATTAAGCTTATGATTTTGGAGACTTTTCTGTGGGAGTTTCTGATTCTATAATTATTTGAATTGTCTAAGCTAAATATTTTTAAAAAATATTTTTATACCATTAGAAAAGTCCTGCTACTTATTATTTGACAGGCTAAGCAATAGTAAACTTCTTAGACATTAGTACCTGATTCACCCTGCTGCCAGATTATTCTCCCTAAAGCACAGTTTTTAATGTGCTACCCTGCTGTTCAAAAACCTTTAATGACTATACACACCTATATTTTTGCCCTGTTTTCATTTTTAAAAATTGAAGTATAATGTACATACAATAAAACCACAGATTAAGGTTACAATATGGTGAGCTTTTTTTTCATTCAATAAATATGTAAGGAATATTATTTGCAACAACTGGGAGAAAGATAATTCTAAATACAGCAATAACACACCCCTGAGACACTTTGAAATTAACCAGTCTTTATTTTCCAGTGCGATTGTGGAGAAGTGTTGTGAATAAGAGTAAATAACAGAATTGAATAATCTATCTAGTCAGGAATGGAGTCGCCAAGTTTCTTTGCTTTTCTGTCATTTGAAAGTAAATCACAGCTACAGAATAAAGGAAAACTATATTCGTAGATATGGGTGATGAGTTTTGACAGTCATCAAAAACCCACACTGCAATCGGGATATATATATATATACACACACACGCACACATACCCACACACACACATACACACACACACACACACACACACACACACACACACACACACACACCCCTTCCCAGAGAATTCCCTTATGCTCCTTGCCAGTTAGTTACTTATTCCTCCCTTGAGACAAACCACACATTTCTACTACATTCTTATCACCATTGATTAGTTTTGCCTGATATAGAACTTTCTGTAAATGGAATTATACAGTATAATCTTACATATGTAATCTTTTGTGTATGGCTGCTTTACTCAATAAGGTTTTGAGATTCATCAGTGGTGTTGAATGTATCAGTTCCCTGCCCTTTTTGCTAAATAGTATTCCATTGTATGAGTTTATCAACATTTGTTTATCCTTTTTCCTGATATTAGACTTTTGAATTGCTCCAGTTTTTGGTGATTATAGTCCCTGCAAACATTGAAACTGTAAGTTTGAATTCAAACTATACCTTATAGTTTGAATGTTTGTAGTGACTAGTAAAAACTACCATTGTTTTATTTCAAAGCGGCTATATCATCTTCGATATAAGCATTTCAGTTGCTGTACAGACTTTCTAGCACTTGGTAGTGTCAGCTATTCTTTTTTTTTTTTTTCTTTTCTTTTTTACTATCATTATATGTGTGTATTGGTATTTCACTGTGGCTTTAACTTGTATTTCCCTATGGACAAGTAATGTTGAACAACAGGTTGTAAATTGCCATTAGCATATTGTGTTTTCTGAAGCGTCAACTCAAATACTTTGCCTACTTTTTGATTGTTTTCTGATTATTGATTCTTGAGAACCCTTTATTATAAATACAAGTTTTTATTTGATAGGCACTTTGTAAACATTTCTTCTCAGTCTGTTACTTATCTTTTCATTTTCTTACCAGTGTTTTTGGAAACTTTTTTTTGTAGATAGTGCTTTTGTGCTGTATCTAAGAAATCTTTACCTAACCCAAAGATGCAAAAATTTTCTACTATGTTTTCTTCTAGACCAGTGCTGTCCAATAGATATATAAGGCAATCCTCATATGTAATTTTAGGTTTTCTAATAGCTACATTAATAAAACTTGAAAGAGGTAAAAAAAATTATTTAAAAATAGATTTTAAATAAAAATATCCTAAAGATTATCATTTAAACTTGCAATCAGTATAAAAACTTATTAATGAAATATCTTACTTTCCTTTTTTCATACTAAGTTTTTGAAGTCTATTGGATATTTCACTATTATAATATGCCTCACTTCAGACAATACACATTTCAAATGTTCAACAACTGCATGTAGTTAGCAGCTACCATATAGGGCAGCAGAGTTCTAGAAGTTTTATAGTTTAAAATTTTACATTTAGATCTGTGATCATTTTGACCTGGTTTTTGCATATGTTATAATACATGGGTTGAAGTTCCTTTTAAAAAACATATGGATATTCAGTTGAACCAGCACCATTTCTTGAATGGACTATTCTTTACCATTGAACTGCCTTTGCCCTTCTGTAGAAAATCAGTTGACCTATATGTATGTGGCTTTATTTCTGGATGATCTATTCAGTTCCATTGATTTTTGTGTGTATCCTTTAATGTATTTTTATCGTAAGTCTTGAAGTTATGTACTGCCAGTCTACCAACTTTGTTCCTTTTTTGCAAAATTGTTTTGACTATTGTATTTTTGATTTTTTATATTTTTTGCTTTTCCATATAAATTTTAGAATCAGCTTGTCAATTTCTACCAAAAATTTCTGCTAAGATTTTTATTAGCATTGCATTTAATCAATCAATTTGGGAAAATTGACAATTTAACAATATTGAATCTTCTAATCTGTGACAAGGTATATGTCTTTATTTATTTATCTTTGATTTATCTCATCAGTGTTTTATAGTATTTAGCCCACAGATTTTTTTTTTTTTTTTTTTTTTTTTTTT